TCATCTGTTCGAGAAAGCCCATCTCGATGAACAACTGGGGAATGAGGCAATTGGTCCAGGCGAAAAAGAAAGCTGGCTGGAATCGGCCGATTGCTTAACGTGCACCGGGGAATCACACGCAAAAAATGTAGTGCCCAGAGGCGGATTCGAACCGCCGTCAACACGGTATCGCTGAGTGATGGAGACCACAACGTATCATCCTAACCAACTAGACGATCTGGGCGACCAATGAAGTTGACAGTTGCCAGCTTTCAACAGGCTATAAAGGTGTGAGTGCAAGTGCGTGCATCCTTGCGGGCAGTGGCCTCCATCTTTTCGCGTGGCACCTGCCCAGTGGCATCCCAGTTGCTTCACCTCAGGCAAGAGCGCACATAAGGGAAGGCATCACCTAAGCAAAACAAACAGAAGGAGGACCCCCACCCGGTCTGTGTGTCCCAGTGTTTTGGGAAGGAAGTGAGGGGTTTGAGCCATGACGGTAATTCTGTCGCCCGACGTCAAAAATACCGCCCAAGTCCTTACAAAATCCCATTCCTCCATCCTAGAAAACCCGTGTTAACAGACCCTTGAGACGACACCGAATTTTCGCCATTCGCTCGGCATTACCGAATTCCTCCAGCCTCACTAAGCTCAGGCCACCGCCAACACAACACGCCTTCCTGAGCCAAACCGAATTCACACGACTCTCTCGCCATAGCCTCGAGAAATCCGCTTTTGAGGGGGTCTCCTTGTGAAAGAAGCTACGAAGTACGAACACACTACCGCGTATCTCCCAACCCGCGTGGTTCAGGCATCGAGCGTTGAAGAGAGGGTATCCGCATTTCCCACATTACGGCAGACTTACAACAAAAGGCGAAAGAGCCCGGATAAAAAAGAGGGCGACACTCCATCACCGGCCCCCCAAATCAGGCCACATTCTACTGATTTTTCCAGCTATTTTTTCCCTACCTCCAAAAGCCCTCCATTCGCTCGCCCCGTCGCCGTCTCCGAACATGGCCCCAGCGTCTCAGGAGCCCGAGCCCGCCTCCGCGACTACGACCAGGCCCGACAACGACTCGTCGGTGGACAACATCGCCCAGGTATGTACGAATAGCCCGTATCTGCGCTTTTTTAGAACCCCGACAGAGCAAGGGGGCTGCCGGGGGGTCATGCTTATGCAGAACTTCTGCCTCGAGCTTTCAACCGGCGTCCGCCCCGTCCTCCTCCCCTGGGTCCTCGGTCATCGTGGTTTGTCTCTCACTTTCGCTCTCATCCTCGGTTCTCAGGCTCGCTCCTCCTCAGCTTCTCAATTCCGGGCCTACGCCACGCTCCGCTCCTCTCCCCGGCGCTCCTGCACCATTGAGACCCATTCGCCGTTATTTTGTCACGCTCGCTGATTCGCTCAAAGTTCCCATCCATCGGAACTGGAGCGGTCTGGGCCCTCCCCTGTGTTGTGGGCGTTAAGGTGGGGTCCAGGACCGATGATGTGTCGAGACGGCAACAACCAGCGAGCCGCCGGTTGGTTGGGTTGACTTGGTTGCTGGTTCCTGGTGTTGCAGCCGAGGACTTGAGGAGTAGCGAGCCCGCCTGCCCGCCGCAAAGAGCAAGCACTTTGCGAGTATGAGAGAGAGCAGAGAGCATAACCACTAAGGCAAGGGCCCAGCGGCACTGCGGTAGAAGGGGGTGGCAGGATGTGACTATCTATGGGATACCCCCCCTTTTTCACTTTTCCAGGGCTGACCACGTTTGGGGCGCGTTCTAGGCCTACAGGGACCTCCAAAGGTACGCTCAATCAACGAGCATTTTTCCATCTTCTCCCTCCCCGCTCCCTTGTCTGGAAGGGCGAATGCCAGCACTGCCTTTCTGCATGCGACCCCTAGGTGTGAGCCATTGAAACGCCCCTCTTCCCCTACCACAACAGTCGGAATGGCATGTTTGCACCCTGGGCTTGAAGACGGAGCTGCCTCCGAAGCTGCAAAGTGCGCTTAGGAGGAATGAACCCGGGCGAGCGCCACAGCCAACCATCCACAGCACAGCGCAGTGAAGCACAGAGTGCAGCACCTCGCCCAATCTGCTTTCGGATCCCTGCGCTGCGCAGCAACACCAGGTCGCCAACAGCTTTCTGATCACTTTTTTACGGAATAACGTCCGCAGCCCTGGGCTCCTCGGACTTCGGTGGGCGCAGGTGCATCTCGTTTCCGGCTGAGGATTGCGGTCTGGACCAACCCAGGCCTTTTCAGATTTGGATATGGCCAAACCACAATCTCCATGGCAATTTTCCAAACGAAAGAAAAGCCATCGATACCATCAATTTGCTCGCCCCTCCCTACCGCTCCGCTCGTGATGTTTTTTGTCTAGGACGATGCATCGAAGCGAGACACTTGCCGGTCTCTTTACCAGGTAGAGTTGAAGGAGGGGTAATGGGCTGTGGTACGACAGTGTCCAAATCCTCCCGTCACCAGACAGCGTGAGATGAGGGCTTTCGGTTACCGCTCCCCTAGCAAAGCAGCCACCTCGGGAAAGGTTCTAGGCCCTCTAGTCAGACCGTCCGCCCAGAACCCAGGGATGAACGCGCTTTCAACAGTTCTCACACGGGGATAAAGCTCCCGTTCCGGTCTCAGCTGGTGGCCATCTCGATGTTCGAGGCCATTCTTTCGTGTCTGGCATGGACTGCCAAACCCCCCTCCCTAATAGCCACCAACCCCTCTCTCTTGCGTCCGGTCCAGCCAAGCGGCGATGCGGAAAAGATAGATTCCCATTCATATTTGCCCTTCCAGCCGCGTCCTCGTGACCGCTTTTTCTCCACGCCGAAATTCAGAAATTGGACTAACCGAGAACCGCAAACAGAGGCGAGCAGGCTGCCAGCGCGCTCGAGGCGAACCTGACGAACCTTGAAAATAGACTGGACGCCCTCCTAGCTGCCTTTGAATCTTCCGAAGGAGGAGCTGAAGCTCCGAAGGACACGAACGACACCCACAATGGAAACACCCCCAGCGGCCAGAAGCACAATGAGGGGTCCGGGCCCGATGCCTCAGGAGCGGCGAAGAAGCCTTAGACGGACAGACCGGATTCCAAAAGTGTTGTGACGAACTTGCGTGGGTCGAGAGACGGAGCCGATAACCAATTTTCATGTTCTTCGGTTCCGCTGGTCGCCCTCTCTTCATGATCCTGAAATCCGACGATCAGTGCTGGGAATCGATGCTAAGGGCGGACTAAAACATGGGGATTTGCAATTGCTGGTATGGAAACCGCTGGGTGGCGATATTTGGGGGCAAGTTCCCGCGTGGGCGGACGCGACGATCCCTTGTCGGAGATCAGGGGCGGTATTGATCAGCATGGTCCGGCTCTTCCTCCCCGACCTGTCCTATCACATCTCGTCTTGTCGACTGCATCCCATCCTATCTCGATAATTCGTCTGTTTGATCGGAAAAGATATGCGGATTTGCGGTTCTGGACGGCCGGTGATTATCGTAGGAAGCGTCAAACGAACGCTGGAGGAGGGGAGAGGAGGGGGATGGGGTGGTCTGTTTTCTTTCCTGTCAACATTCTTTTGCCACTCGCCAGGGCTGGCCAATATCTGCAGCTGCAACACATTATCGCCCCCTAGGACTTATCACACATATTCGCCATCCTGCGTCTTGCCCAGATTTGTGATCCCGATGTCTTTTTAGCGTGTGTCGCCCGGTGATTTGGAGGGAAAACAAAGTGACTTTTGATATTTGGGCCGGTACTTTGATGCCATGGTGTGGTGGTGCAGAGAAGCTATGGGCTGCGGAGGAGGGGGTGGAAAGTGTCAACAAGTGAGGGGCAGAAAAAAAAACATGGCTTTGTAGAATGCCGCTTAGGACCAGCGCAGAAATTGCATGCCTTTTGTGGTGTGATTGTTGAATTTGCGGCCGATTTCCCTCCCTCGCTCCTTCGGCCGGCGAGCGAGATGCTCGGATGGAGCCCCCCGCCCCCATCCCCCTCATCATCGTGTGCGGCTGGTTTGCTTCACATCCCCCTCGCCACGATTGCCTCACATTCAATCGTTGGCGAATTCAATATAGTGTAGATGGACATCAATCACGACAGTAATTTGTTTCGATGAGCTCGGCAAATTCAGCCTTTCCTTATACGGCGGCCTTGCTTCTCTTGATATCAATGATGTAGTCTCGGGACCCCCAACCCATCTGACGCCCTTGTTGCTGGTAAACCTGGTTTGAGCAAGGAGAAAAGGAAAATCAAGAAAATTCAGAATCCCATCTTTCCCCGCTATCAACCGTCAATGCCTGTTCTTGAGTAGTGGAAACTTCTTTCCCAATTCTTCGTCTTCGTCGTCGAAATAGCCCTTCCAACCAACAGACACAGCCCAAAGCTGTTCAAGCTGAGGGCTAAGCTAATCGCCCTATATAGGAGATAACCCAAAATCACAGCAGGCCCATATGTGGATGCCAGAAACTTTGATCTCATCCTCCTGTCTGTCCACCCCTGGGTGCCAACAGTAAAACTACAATCGAAGGTTAACGAGACGGTGAAGAATGCGGGCAGTGTGACGCCTGTCCCTCCCTCCTGTCTGAAATACCAAAATAAAGATAAAAACTCCTAACGACCTCCGTAATCCCATTGACCCCCTCCCTTGTGTGCATACCCATCTTAAGAGATCCAGTGTGCTCAAAAAAGAAACTGTCTCTCCCTTGTCGCATGTGCTTGCACACTATGCACAACCCGTCTTTATAACGAAACTCGAAAACAGTGCTTCTTCTTGTCTTGAAATGCCTTCTGCTGCTTGAAGGAGTCGTGCCGCTCGTAAACAGTTGTGATGGGAGAGATGTGTCGGATAAATTGAGCAAGCAGCGGCGTCCAGGTGCTGTATCCATCCTCCAATGCTCCTCCATCTTTCTTGGGTATTGCTTCGTAAAACGATGCTACTCGTTTGGCTTACTCGGGTCGCCACTTGCGTTTTTTCTGAGCCTGTCCCTGCACATCCCAGTTAGGAACTATGTGACCTCAGCAGCAGCTACGCGCACGAACAAGAAACCAAGTTAGCTTGTTAGGCTGCGCGAGTCGGAAAGGCCGTTACGTGCCCTAGTTATGGGATCCTCCTGATCCGCCGTGACCAAGGACGGGCTAGCCAGACTAGGCCCTGTCATTGGTTCTATTGATGAAAAGGCTCGGTTCTCCAGAGGTGGGCGGAGGTGAGACTGAGGTTGCTCATTCCCGGTGGCCTTAACCCTGGATTGTTGAGCAAGATCTCTCTCCCTGTTCTTCTCCAGCAGCTGACCCCCCAGGGTAGCACACTTGAGAATGGTCTGGATGAGGTGGTTTTGCTGCAGGGGCTTGGACAGGTATTCGTCCATCTGGGCCTGGATGCACTTCTCACGGTCACCCATCATGGCGTGGGCTGTCAGGGCAATGATAGGGGTACGATGCGAGCCAAGGCTTCGCTCATACTCGCGGATCTTGCCAGTTGCCTCAAAGCCGCCCTGCCGGGTGGGGTTAGCTCGCAATCAAGATAGACATGTAATAGAAATTCCGGGACTTACCATGATGGGCATTTGTACGTCCATGAGGATGACGTCAAACTTCTTCCGCTTGATTGCCTCGACGGCTTCAAGACCGTTGCCGACAACAGTGACCACGTGGTGGTACTTCTCGAGGATCTTGACTGCAAGCCTCTGGTTGACTCGGTTATCTTCTGCAAGCAGAATCTCGAAGGACTTCGTGTTATCCGCAAGCGATGGCGTGGCGCGGTTCTCGAGGGCAGGAATCATGCCATTGCCCAGGTCAACCGCTGTGCATGGTGTTGTCATATACGACGTGATGCCCAGATCTAAGCAGGACTTGAGGTTCACATGAACGACAGGCGCCAACAGAACGATAGGCAGGTACTTGAAGTCATCCACCGACCTGAGTCTGCGAGCGGTGTCGATGGAGTCGACGATAATAACGTCGTATGGCATCGCTTGAGCGTCTCGAACTCCAGTGAGCAATGGGTCCTTTTCCGACTGAACAACGACGGGCTGCAGGCTGATCTTATGAAGCATGTCCCGGATCTGTTCGCCGTACGAGGTCTGGGCCTTGTCGACGAAGAGAACTTGGTGACCCTTGTAGGGCTTGATCTGCTTCTCAATGGACTCGACGCCGAGATCTGATAGGCGAACGCGACATGTGAAGTGGAACTCACTGCCCTGACCGTGCTGGCTCTTAACCCACAAGTCACCGCCCATGAGCTTCACTAGACGCTTCGAAATGGATAGACCAAGTCCGGTGCCGCCGAACTTTCTAGTCATGGATCCATCGGCCTGCTGGAAAGTGTCGAAAATGAGGTCGAGCTTGTCGGCCGCAATGCCAATACCCGTGTCGGTAACAACAAATTCAATGGCATATTGGTCGGGGTTGCACTTCCAAACCACCGGATCGGCCTTCTTGATTGTAAGACTGACCTCTCCATGCTCGGTGAACTTGATGGCGTTGCCGACCAGGTTCAGGATGATCTGCCTAAGACGGAACGAATCGCCAATGACATGGTCGGGTACTGAGGAGTCTACTCGGTACGTGAGGTCGAGGAACTTCTCGTTGGCTTTCACAGCCAAGGTCTTGAGAGCATTGAAGACCGTACCACGCAGAGTGTACGGAATCTCCTCAATGACCATCCTCCTAGCCTCAATCTTGGACAAGTCCAAAATGTCGTCAATGATCGTGAGCAGACTGTTGGCAAGACTGTTGACGATATTTAACATTTCTCGCTGGTATTGTGTCAAGTCCGTGTCGAGGGTGAGTTGTGTCATGCCGATAATACCGTTCATGGGTGTGCGAATCTCGTGAGACATATTTGCCAGGAACTCTGATTTCGTCTTGTTCGCCAACTCTGCCGCCTCACGAGCTTGTGTGTTCCTCTGGATGCTATCCCGTAAGTTTGACACCATCTGATTGATTTTTCGTTTCAGTTCGTCCATTTCGCCAGATGCTTCAACCTCGACGAGTTTCGTGAAGTCTCCGTCCGTCGCCAGGTTGGTTATGTCAGAGAATGCGCGCACTTGAGTCGTCAAGTTGCTGGCCATGGTATTGACGTCCGTCGTGATCTCCCGCCAGCGACCCTTCAAGCCGGCAGGGTCTGCTTGTGCACCCATCTTGCCGTCAACACCGACGTCTCTGGCTACTCGCTGCACTTCGTTGCAGAAATTAGAAAGCCTGTCAACCATGTTGTTTATGGTCTCTTTGAGAACCCGGATTTCTCCTTGAGCCTCAACTTCGATCTTCTGGCTCATGTCGCCATTCGCAATAGCCTGTGTGACGGTTGAAATGCTGCGGACCTGTAACGTAAGGTTTGAGGCCATGGTGTTGACGTTTTCTGTGAGGTCTTTCCATTTGCCTTCCACGTTGTCGACCTGAGCTTGTCCGCCCAGAGTTCCGTCAGTGCCGACTTCCCTCGCGACTTTGCTGACCTCGAAAGCGAACGTGCCCAGACGGTCAACCATAGTGTTGATGGTGTTCTTGAGATCAAGAATCTCACCGCGGACAGGCACTCGGATTTTCTCTGTGAGATCACCGTTGGCGACGGCGGTCGTGACCTTGGCAATGGCTCGAACTTGCGTTGTCAAGTTCATGGCCATACCGTTGACGTTCTCAGTAAGGTCTCTCCAAGTTCCCTCGACATCATGAACGGTGGCTTGACCACCGAGACGGCCTTCGGTGCCGACCTCTCTGGCAATCTTGGTGACTTCCCGAGCAAATTGTTGAAGTTGGTTAACCATAGAGTTGATGGTAGACTTGAGGTCGAAGATCTCGCCCCGGCAATCCGCTTGAACCTTTTGAGTGAGATCTCCCTTGGCGACGGCAGTCGTCACCTTGATGATGTCCCGCACTTGTGTCGTTAAATTGTTTGCCATAGCGTTGACGTTGACCGTTAATTCGTTCCACATGCCCTTGACGCCTTCAACATCAGCCTGTCCGCCGAGTATGCCCTCGGTTCCGACATCACGGGCGACGCGAGTGACCTCAGATGCAAATGTCCGCAGTTGATCCACCATAGTGTTGATTGTTTGTTGCAGTTGCAGAATTTCACCACGAGCAGGACGTTCAATCTTCTTGGTCAAGTCACCGTGGGCGACAGCCGTGGTTACCGAAGCAATTTCGCGCACTGCGCAGTTTGTCAGACGGAACATGTCGCGAAGACCGTTGTTATCGACGACTTACCTTGATCCGTGAGATTCTGAGCCATGACGTTGACTGTCGTCTGGTTAGCTTATACACTAAAGACTGCATTGAGATGCATGCATACCGTTGTCCGTGAGTTCTTTCCATGTACCATCGACACCTTCGATGCGGGCCTGACCGCCGAGCAAACCTTCGGTTCCGACCTCGCGGGCGACGCGGGAGACTTCGCTTGAGAATACCTGCAGCTGATCCATCATGGTGTTGATTGTCCGTTTGAAAGTAGTGATTTCCGGGTCCATTTCGACGGTGTTCATGCGGACCTTCTTGGAGAGGTCTCCGCGTGCGACAGCTGTAACGATCTCACCAATTTCCCGCAGGGCCTTTTGGAAGGCCTCGTTGGCCTTTTGGTGTTTCCATAGTTCCCGTTCCAAGGTAGCGACTCTTTCTTGCTCGATCTTGAAGAAGGCCTGCTCTTGCAGTTCCTTCTGCTCAAGAAGCTGGGCGCTAACACTACTTATTTCCTGTCTCGCGCTAGAAATGCCCTTCTCCTGATCAAGTACCTTCTCTTGCAAGCTTTCCAAGGCTTCATCAGTCAGCGGGCTGCCTGCGAGGCTTGGGTCGTCTGAGGCGGTACCTTCGCGTTGGAATTTTGGCCTGGGAATGGGGCGGCTATTTGACGATGATGGCGATGTGGCCTCGGAGTCGTCGCCGAACAGGGAATCGTGGACCTCGTTGGGGGTTTCCGGGAAAGCGACGGATGCGTGGGCTCTGTTCTCGAGCTTCTCGATTCTCTGGGCAAGCTTGGCCAACTCGGCCTCCAGACTGCGCTTCGCCGGGGTGTCACGACCGGGGAGCTCGATTCGCGCGTCGGCCTTGAAGGGGAGGGACATCGGTGTCGAGCCGTCGGCGGCGAGGGATTGCACGATGGCCGCCGCGGCGGCCAAAGCAGAGTCGTCGACCATCCTGTTTCTGTACAGTTTACAACCTGAGCAGAGAGAGACAGCTCAAGGAATTGGTAGAGAAAAGGTATTTGCGGTCGAGGGAGTGGAGGCCGCAGAGGGTAGTTCGGTGGGAAAGGAACGGGGCGGATATAGATTCAGAAGGAGTCGTGAGCAATCGGCAGCATATTAGCTCTGGTCAAGTCCTGGAACCAAAGTGAATACAGCAGCGAGAGGTGTGGTGGGATAGGCGAGAGTCTTTTCACCGCCCGAATCTCGTTGATTCGCCGCGTGTTAGACGATGGCGCTCTTGTCTGCGGTGGTGCAGGAAGGACTGATGGGGGTGAAGTATGGGATGGTAGGTAGGTAGGTAGGTAGATAGGTTATGTGAGAGGAAGTACGAGGGAAGGAGTTGGTGTAGGTGGGTTTGTCGGTATAGGAAAGAGAGAGGGTGAGTTGAAAAAGCAATGAGGCGAGCAAATAGCGAGTAGACACGCCCCGAGAATGGTCAGGCGGATAGGACGAGCTGCTGCTAGAGGTCGCAAAGAGCCAAAGCGAGGGAAGGACCACTGCACTGGAGAAGAGAGGAGATAAGGCGGAACAAGATGCAACAGGGGGGGCTAAACGGATACCACAGCGGATGGAGAGGAGGGCGGATGTAGGGATTGGGGTGGGATGGGATAGGCAGGCGAGGGGAGGGGGGGCTTGTGGGAGGTGGAGAGAGGATTGGTTCGACGAGGCGAACCTCAGAGACGGTGCGGTGCAGGTGAGAGTACGGATGCTGCTGCTGCTATTGCTGCCACTACTGAGTATATTGCTGGCCGAATTTCCCTACTGACGCTGGTCTGGCTAATGCCGCTGCTGGTTGGACAAGCACTTGAAGGTGCGGCACAGGGTTGGCATCTGTACTGCATACCGGGACAATTCAAGTCCAAGAAGTGCGCGAGCATGTAGTTGTACCTCGAGTAGGTTTCCGAGGCGGGATACACTCGGTCTACCTGAGAGGGGGGCTACGCAGGTACCTGCCTTGAGCCGCCGTCTTCCAATGAGAGGGGAGAACAGCGCAGCGCTAACACCATTCTGTCCAGCCTTGCGTACCTTCCTACGCCAAAACTGCAGCTACGGGTACTTTCTGAGTCGAACGGGTGTCCATATCATCCAGCGAATAAGATCGACCCAAGTGGGGGGAGCGTGGTCCGGCAAGGGTGGACGGAGCCTCTCTGAGGACACAACAATTCGCTCTCCCTCCACGGCGACATGGAATACGAATGGTGATCGATCGATATTCTTTCCTAACGCAGCACAAGCGTCGACGCCCGGAAGGCGCTGTTAGCGGTCTCCTGTGTGCTTCTCCCGGTCGCCCAGTCTGTCTGGCGACTGGCATTGGTTCGCCCAGCCTGGTGTGCCCCTCTCCAAGCCTGAGCCTGTCCTGAGATTTTTCTCGTGATGCGACTTGAGGCATCTGTACCGTCAGAGTATTCACCTTCAGGTCATCACGGCGAGATACATCTTTGAGAGCTGGTAGCTGATAGCCCATCCGTGCACGACTTGTGCTTCAGCCTGTCCGACCCGACGGCTCCTGCCAATGGACCAGCCCAGTGTATCCTATCCGTCCTATGTAAGGTATCTTCTTACCGCTTCCCTCCCCCCTTTCTCATGCCAATGCTAATGCCAATGCCAGCTGGTGGTGTCCAGTCCGTATGGGCATATTGTCTCGAACATGAATGGGAAGAGGCTAGTGCAGGCCGTTGAAGCAGTCTACTCCCCGTCTGGCTCGTCCGGCCGCCCCAGCAAAACGCATCGGGGCATGTCGGCCGTTGCCACTGTTCAAACTGGCGACTGGCTCGTCTGCCCGCAATGTCGTTTGTGTCGGGCCTGTCGTCTCCCATCACTCAAGCGGAAGTCGAGACTGCCAAAGGGCCCATGTATGTGCACCTGAGGTCAGACAGGGCAAGGCAAAGCATCTCGCGTCTGCTCGAGAGATGGCAAGACATTAGCAGTACTTTGGATAACCTAGCAGGGGTAGCACCACATGTACTGGCATCCCGGTCTGTCAGCGCATGCGCTGATGTGTCTACCGCAGTATGGCTGCTTGGGCACTTGCAGGAGCGTCCCCCGAGACGGCCTAGCGTATGGATTGGAACCGTTTTCTCTCGCGTTGGTGTGGGGAAAACCAACGCATTTCCTCACTGTGGAGTTACCTTTGAGAACAATTTTTCTCGAAAAAAGGGGGTTCGTGGCCGTCCGTTTGCTGCTTTTGGGGGACTCGGAAACCAACTCGAGTCTCGAGACTCGCCATGTTGCATTTCGGGGTCACGACTGGACTGCGAGGGCAGCATCATTCTCTCCGAGCCCCAAGGGGAATCGATTGGTAACGACAACGGGAGGCAAGGTAGCATTCCCAGGCTGTTGACGGCGGGAGGCTCCTGGTGGCCCCCATCAAGAGCAGCCAGTGCCAGCGCCCCATGTGCTGCTCGGCTTAAGAGCAGTGCGGGACGTCGCTATGTACCGCGATGTGCAGTCTTCCAGCAGGCATCTCAGCAGCGTAGCGTTGCGTTGCACCCCTCGCTCCGTCTCCACCAGCTGCACCGCCGTACCGCTGCAGTCCCTGGTCGGGGCCCGTCGAGTCCAGTCCATCTCTCTCCCGTCGCACGCTCTGCAGCTGTGCAGACTCCAGAGGCGGGTGCAGAGTGTTCTAGAGGTTCTAGAGGCAGTCCATACAGCGTACGGCAAGCCTTGCGCTGGGCTGTCACATGGCGTACCAGGGACTGCCCGTACTTGGTTGCGTCTACAAACCAAGCCTTCCCTACTCAGCTGGTTGCAAGCAGTGGGAACCAGTTCCAGAATCCTGCACATGACGAAGGGATCGAGATCTTTTTCCCCCTTCGATCGCAGGACAGCAGACGGGGAAAGAGGGATATCCATCCAGCCAGCAGGGCGCTGACGATTTACCAGCTGTCTGGCTGGCTAAGTGTCTGCGTGCCCTGCTTGCCTGCCTGCGGCATATGCGGTTCCTCCGCCACGGCTGCTGCCAGCCGGGAGTGCGCCGACTGGGAGTGCATTGGACGCAAAGTCGGACTGCTGGTACCCGTCACACCTGAATGCACATCGGATTGGACTGGGTTGGATGGATGGAGGGAGGGGTCTCGCACTCTCAGCGATGCATGCCGGGCATTGGCGAAGGAACGGAGCAACGTCGATGTAGCCGCACAGTAGGCGACGCTGAAGACGGGCACCCCTTCGCACAGTCACCTCCTCTCCAAGCTTCAGAAGCACGCGGTGGACTCCTGAACAGACAAAAGTCTGAAGTCTGAGGGTGTGATAGTGAATTGGAACTGTGTTGAAATGGGAAGGAATGGAAGCAAGCGCGCAGGGTCCGGGTCTTGCTTCCCGTCGTCCCATCCCACTCTCTCAGTCCTCTCTCTCCCTTCCGCCCAAACCCAAACGGGAGAAGGAACGAAAGCAAAAAAGCAAAGGGAAACCGAGGAGGGGGAATAAGAAAAGGTTGCTCCATTTTTGTTTTTTTTTCTTTTCTTCTCTGCCTCCTGAGGTAGCAGCAGTAGACAAAGTGCGTGTGCGCCGCTAAGGTACCACTGCACTGCTGCCCCCGGCAAGCCAGTAAACGACTGGCCGCCCGCCCGCCCGCTCACCCGCTTTCTTTCCTCAGAGTCTAACAGAGTGGTGCTAACACTATGGTGCTAACTCTTACACTAACAGAGTTCCAACACATAACGAACGACAGACGAGATGGCCTCACGCCTTCGGATGCCGTCACCGTCACAACTCAGCCAATCCTTCTTCCGATCGTCAGGGTCATCTTCAAGGTTTCCACTTGTCAAAAAAGACCAAACTGAAATGCCGTTCTGAGATCGTCGTGCATGGCCAACTTCGCCCGTTTCAAGACCCTCGCGTCGCTCATCCTTTCATATTAAACCGTTCAGCTGGCGACCTATCATCATAACAAGCATCCCGACAACCACCATCACCGCCGCGGTCAATAGGACCCCCATCTCTCGCTATCCCATCCCTCCCGCCAACGGTCAACGGCTGCAACACCTGCAATATGCTCGCGCTGCGTCCAAGCGAAGTCACCTTCTTCCCCCCGCTCGTCAACTTTTCCCCAGAAACGCTCTCACAGGTCGTGGATTTTCAATAACCGACCCTCGCAAACCGAGACAACCTAATCAGCCTCCCACCGCTCCCTTACCTTACCTCCGACCAAACATCTCAACCGTGATACTGGATACCTGCCGCCTGCCGAAAAGCCCAAGCCGCCGACGTCACTGTGGTCCTAGTCGTCGCTAATCTGATTCGGCCCTGAGCCACACCGCCCTGCCTCAGGTCCAATCGCGGTTGACTCGACCGTCGCGGCCGCCAAGGGTATTCCCATTCCCAACCCGAGCCCGGGAAGGTACCTGTTTAACAATCCCATCGGAACGAGGTCGATGCCAGTAACGACATCGGAATCTCCCTGACAATGCCGTCAACCGCCCACAATCCCCTGAGCCAGACACACACCTCCCATTTGTCTACGCGGTCCAGTTCAGTCTGGAACTTCACCGACCATCCCATTACCACAACGCGTTCCCGCACCTTGGCTGTCTGTCACTCACCCAGACTCTCCGTTCAGGAACTGGCTGAAAAAGAGGCGGGATAGCGCCTGGACCATATCGTTGAACCCCTATTTCGATGCGCCTTGCCACCATGCACGCCAGATTGACTTTCTTAGCAGCAACACACTGACCGAGAACCCCTACATCACCGCTTCCGACAGGAGCTAATGCAGACCAAATCCTCACGTCGCGGCTTGATGGGGGGCTTCTTGGAAGCTGGTACCGATATGCTGTTAGCCGTGGTGGCTTATGGTCCGACGCTTCGTCTGCTTCAGCCTTCAGCCAACCGTATTGTCAACCAAGCCAAGCGGTATCCGCCATCTGTCAGTTCTCACCGCAACTGGATGAGTGGCCAGCGTTGCTGCTGGCGCTTGGTTTATCGGACGTCTTCCGTTCATGATGACTGGACGA